ATTTTGAGCGGCTCGCGGCTATGGAAATCGTAATCACCGTTGTCGGACGCCGTAAATCGATAATCACTGCACTCTGCGGATTTTATTTACGGTGAAAATCGATGGCTTGCGGTCGAAGGAGACAGTCAGCTGTCTACATTTAGTTTATTATTATTATTATTATTATTATTATTATATATGTATATAGTTTATTACTATATTATACTATTTAACACCCTCGTTTCCCCGAAAGGAATTCTCCGCGCAGTCGCAGCGGAGCACAAGAATGCGTGCGCGTTTAATTGCAAGCGCGTTCAATTAATCCGGCCGATTCAGTTCTCGGGACCCCTTTAAATTTTTCCTCGGTCGTGCGACCCCTTTAAGCAGAAGGGCCAGAGAGGGTTGGCAGAGAGGGAGGAGAGAGTAACCCGAACACAGAACGCTTCAGAAGTTTACCAGGAAGATGCTCGCGAACTTTGCCTTTAGCTGGCAACCCCGCCGGGGCCATTAATAAATGGGGCTCTTAGAATAAGTTCGCCGGAATAATCAATAATTCGATGAATTATAGAGAGGAACGAATGACTCGGTCCGAAAATACCGGCGATCCATCGGCGGTAATATCTTACCTGGCTCGGTGAAAAGCTTCCACGAAATTGCGGACCGTTTATGGTGAATCACGGGGCTCGCGCGTACATTTGACGAACTTCTGCCCGGTCGGATTATGCTCGATCGCTCGTCCACGGCCACCTACCCTACACTTTCCATCCCCGGAGCCGTTTCAGCGGCCTGGATAGTTTCCACGGGAATTAATCATCGTTAACGATCGATCATGCGATCTTGTCATATTATATTATATATTGTTACGGCGACTTCTCCGAATCAAGTCGCTGTAATGTGAAACTGCCCTGTTGTGAGCAGCTCCTTGAAAAAATAATGGAAGACTGGAGTGATTCGCAACAATATTATATAAATTATTTGCAACGTTCTATCATTTTGTTTTACGTTTCAAAACATTTTACTGAAAGAAAAAATACGCGTATACTTTCCAAATCGAATGTATATATTACAAAATCGATTAATCGTGCCATTGCATCGACCGCATCGTCGATATAAAAGAACGGAAACACGTGTAGAAGTGATTACTCGTTTTATATTTCTCTTTTATACACAAATTAGAATGCAGCCGAGTTTAAGTACGTAAATAGGGACGGTCAAATTAGCGATACACCATACCAATATACATTATACATGATATGTACACGATGCAGCATTAATGCTAAATAAATGCATGAACGATCATCTCCGCGGCAGAGACCCTCGGCGAGGCACAGTTGCCATCAGCATTCGCTCCGTAAAGTGCTATTAACTTTTATTTCACTGAACCGGCGTGGCCACGCCGGAAGATAGTCCGATAATCCAGCGAAATTTAGGTCGTGAAGCCTCGACGGAGCTCGGGCCGGCGAGGGGTTGCGAACGGCGCTGATTAAATATTAATTCCAATGTTTAATTCGATCCGCGAACGCCTCGAACGTCGCGTATCTCTTGCTGGAAAAACACCTTGGACGCCACCGTCACCTGGACAGCACCGGGTTTATGGTGGCCCGGTTCTGTCGCCGCCATTTTTACGACCGCCGCCATTGGCCGCAACGGTTTCGCGTAGTGACGCCGAAGGGCAATATTGCTTCTCGTAGAGTACGTCGTCCTGGGATCGATGTTTCATTCGGATACAGTAATGTCTCCCTTACCGACGCTCGGATTGTCCACAAAAATGGACAATTTTGGGAGTGGAGATACGATTATTCTCGATCCTTGCAGTTCATTTTTATGGTCATGAATCGTCAACAACTATAAAAACGAGCTGCATAACTCGAATTACCATTTCTCGTACCATAATCGCTAGCATTTTAAACTGCGCACCTAATTTACCAGCGATCCACTAGCTAGTCCTAAAAAAGTCCAAAGTAACGATCATTTGACCCACTTCCCAAAAAGGTTCACCGCTCCCTGGTCACGCGCACCCCTTGCGATCTACACAGTCCCGTACAATCCCATACGACCCCCATTGCTATTCCATAGTCTCGAACATTTAGAACGTTGCGCCATCTTCCATCAGAACACTCGGCCCTAAGAGGTCCCCCGTCGTAAGCCCGCAATGGCCGCCATCAATTCCAGCGTGCTCACAATTGCGTCCTCTTCGCGAAGACTGGTTCGCCTAAGTGTCTCCCAGGCCTGTTGAATTAGTCAGCAGACTTTCAGAGGCCGGTCGAGTTTATCACCGAGGCTAGATGCAGCCATTACCCCAGCAGGCGCACCAGGGCACGCTGCCGCTGCTGGTGCTCGCTTTCCTGGACTTGGAAGGGGTGTCTCTGCTGCTGGTCGAGGTGGTCCTCTCGCGCTCCGAGCTCATCATCGCGTCCTTGTCCTTCGACATGTCCAGGCTGCCGCTCCGGTTGGTCTTCACCGAGGCTAGGGAGGGTCTCTTCTTGGCGTTGAAGTACAGCGACACCCTTCTCGTCTGCTCCTTCTTCGGCGAGTCCTGCCCGGACGAAGAGGACCTGCTCTCGTGCTTGTCCTCCTGGCCCTCGGACGTCGTGATCGTGGTGATGCTGAGCCTCCTGGCCCTCTGCCTCGGAGCCTTGCCAGGCGACTCCGGCACCTCCGACGAAGCCACGCTGATCTGCTTCTTCAGGGACCTCCTTTGCACCGTCGGGGAGAGGTTGTTCAGCGTCTTCAGCGCCTTCTCCTTCCGGATCGTCCTCCTCCGACGCTGCCCGCTCGGAGTACTCGGCGCGCTCTCCTCGTGCGAACAAGTCTGCTCGTCCTCGTGGTGAGAGTCCCCGTCGATCGACGTCTGGGTCTGCACGGGGACCTTCAGCGCTTGGCTGTCGTAGTACATCAGCCCTCTCTGCGGGTACAAACCCGTTCTTGGAACGTACGACATGTTCTGGTACAGGTTCTGGCTCTGCAAGTAAGCGTTGGACGTGATCCTTCGTAAAGTGGACAGCTCGTACGGGTTCGACGGGCCGATCAGGGTGTGAGGGCTGGGCTTCTCGAAGGAGGTCACCTGGATCTCGTGTTTGGCAGCCGGGGAGACCAGTTTCCCGTTCAGCAACTGGTTCGAGGGGATCAGAAGACGGCTCTGATCCGTTTGCACTGGCCTGTACCTGTCCGCCAGCGGACCCGCGCGATGGAAGTTCGGAGCGTTGTGCTGAGATCGGAAGTAGCGAGGATTGTCGTCGCTCACCTGGACCGACAGGGGTCTGGTCACGTTGCTCTGGTCTCTGTAACCGGAGGCCGGATCGAAGGTTCTCAGGAAAGGGTTCTTGAACACTCGATAGTCCATCGTCGGCAGTTTGGGGACCTCCGGCGTGTCCGGGCTGGCCGGTTGCTTCCTGGGCGGCCTCTTCAGGGTGACGCTTATATGGGACCTGTACGGCTTCGAGTCCGATATGTTGTCCAAGGTGTTGTCGCTCTGAGTCATTATCTGCGGCCTGGCCTCGGCGCTGATCATCGAGGCTGGCTGAGACTCCGTGGACAGATCCTGACAGGACATGGACTTCGTCAACTGGTTGCAGGACCTGTCCTCGATCAGCAGGTTGTCCGTGCTGAGGAACGTCCTCTGCTCGCCTTTGCTTCTGAATACGTTGTCTTCGCAGGGTATGGCCCCGTTCACGTAAACGTCGGCCGATCCTTTCTGCAGCATCAGATGGCTCTTGGACACCACCGTGGACTCGGTCTTCGCGCTACAGGAGCTGCTCCCGGTGCCGAAGTGGCTGATCGTCGGCGAGGCGTCGTCGGGCTGTCTCTTCGTCTTCGAGGGCAACGGGGCGAAAAAGTGTTTAGGCTTGTCCTCGGCGTCCTTTGTCCTCGAGTCTTTCAACGGACCGACGTCGAAGACCCAGCCGTTCTCGGTTACCGTTTCAGGGTCTATCCGGTCCCCGAAGGGTGCGTACACGCAGCTTCCTTCCTTGGGCCCGAGATTTCTCCTTTGAAGAGGCGCGGAGAACGTCGAGAACGACGCGAAGCGTTGCTGGTCGCGACCGTAAGCCTCCGCGTCGATCGCACCGAATTGGGCGATCTGCTTCTGAGGAATCGTTAGGTTCGTTTGCCAGCCCGCGGGCGGCGCGTGCACCATCTGATCGTTCTCCAGACTCGGTCCAGGGTGCAACGTGTCCGTCTGTAATCTCGGGGACACCATTTCCTGCATGGCTGGCGCCATCATCAGATTCAAGGTGCTCGGGAACTTGAAGGGACACTCGGAATAGTAGTTGGAAGCACTTAGGCCGGGCGGCTCGTACGCGGCCGGATAAAACGGGATGTTCTCGTGTAGGTGTCTCGGCTTGAAGACCGGGAACGGGCTCTTCTCTTCTTTCGGCAGCTGGCCATCTTCCGAGGACCCTTTGTCCTTCTCCTTCTTCAGCTCCTCCTCCTCCTCGACCACCGACAGGTCGTCGAAATCGACGTGCAGTCTGTGCAGGCTGCTGCTGGTCATCTTTTCCGAGGAGATTTTCTGGTTCTCCGCGTTCTCTAGCTGTTCAGCTTTATTGAGATCCTTGCCGGGTACCCGAGTGGTTTTGTCCTCGTCGAACTCCTCCTCCTCCTCCTCGTCCTCCTCGTCCTCCTCCTCCTCCTCTTCCTCGAGGGAATAGTCGGACTGCGGACCGTCATCCTCGTCGGAGCGAATCTGAAATACAAGACGCTCTGGAATTTCGCCATCTAATCAGCGGACTGACGCGATATCTCCGCAGAACCGAGCTGATATACCGACGGTTTAGAGAAGTTTCCGGATTTCTGCGATTTAAGCGACCTTTTTGAACAGAGTCATCCGCGAGTTTTATGTTTTTTTTGGACCGGATGTCGCAGCGAGAGAGTACGATTGGTTCGGGGTTCATTTTTCGAGGCGTCTTCGCAGTTTCGCTTGCGGATTCATCGCGATTATTCTGGACTCGTGAAAATTGTGCGACGTGGAAGTCAGTTGCCCGAATGAAATAGCTCTCCTATTTTCGGGTTTTATAATTGTTTGAGAGAAATGGCATCGAGAAAGTCTTGACTGGCTTGGGAAACACTTTTATAGATGCACTTTTTCGCCTCCAGAAATACATTTTCCGAATCAAATCTCTGGGTTAAATCACTTTGAGGATACAGTGAATTCTCCCTAATTTTTCTTTAGCTTGTAAACAAAAGCGAACAATCTGAGACATTGTATTCCCTTATTTGAGTTTCAGTTTTTAATTGTAGTTTTTAAGCATCGCACAAGATTTCTCAAAATTAAGCGGATCATTTGTTAAAATAATCGTTCTTCTAATCGCACTTCTTGATAATAATATAGGTCTTTTGAAAGTGTAACAAAAGATTTTGCGTCGAACCACGAATAAATGAACGAACAGTTTCAACGAACATACCATAATACTCCAGTCAATAGTATTACAGACTGACTGCCACAACACAATTGCATTGGACGATAAAACATAAACCCAAGAATGAAATGGTATATATACGTGTACACACGAAGATCAAGAAACGGCAAGAATATCGATTTCTCTTTACCCTCGAGACAAAGACCCTCTTTAGCGGCAATGTCCACACCGGAAGGGACCCGAACTAGGATCAGCGATCTGGGTAACGTTTTTATCCGAAATGCAATAACAGTGGTAGCATCGTTGTTTACGTATCGCCGAGGGGGGAGGACCGAGGACCTTCCTTTTATTGGAGTACTAAGAGATTTATCGGAGGGTGGGAGGTGGGGGGAGGTAAACGAGCCCGGCAACAAACAGCCCCGGAAGTCCACGGAATCGAATTATTGATCACTCGTCCCTCATTACACCCAATTTCCCGCGGACTACCTCGTATTCTTCGCTCTCCTCGCGGCTCTTCTGCCTCTTCAGAATCTCCTCGAGCTTGTCGTACTCGTCCCGTAGGCTCCATATCTCCCTACGCAGTTGCTCGTTCTCCTTGCGCAGCTTCTTGATGTCATTCTGGCCTGGAATCAATCGAACGTTCTGTTACGAAGATTTTCGAGCGGTGACTTTTTTCCGGGAATCGCGCGTGCTCTTCGAAGGTTATGTTCGCGCAGGGTCTCTTATTAAAACGCTTTATTCACCGGAAGTCTATCGACACGCTTTCCAATGTTTCTATTTTCTTTTAAATACAAATATTAGAAGAAGGTGCTACATTAAAGCAAATGGTTCATTGAATTATCAATGAAATTGGCGCTTTTAACGCAGCAGTACACGCGTGGAAGTCTGACGAGTCCAAGCGTCGAGGGTGCATCGAACATAAAATCGAGAAAAGTACCTTAAAGTCGAGGCTTCGAGCTTTAATTTAAAGGAAATATCACTGTCCTACGATGATTTTTCGCGAAGTTATCATCGGTCGAAGTTGGTCTATTTTGCTCCATTTTTATCTGCTATAATTCTTTCGCGCAGCGCGTTTAAACAATTGTTTAATTTTTATTTCGGCTGATCCACGACGATCTAGCAGTCTAACTACGTCATGAAGATGGCGTAGACGTCGACTACTGATTGTATAATTTCGGCTAGTCTATATGAAACTACCCTAATGCCGCCTTGGAGACTAAATAGACGTCGACCGCTTCGCGCCGTCGAAAAATTCGCGAAACTAAACAAACCTTTTCGCACGCGGAACTACTTAGCCGACGGTTTATCGAAGTCCCGCGGGAAACGAGCTTACTCGAACTTTCCATTCCCGTTGCCACGTCTAGGCGCGCTCTGTTCGCGATGTGTTTTTTCCGCGGAAATCACTTAATCACGATCCCCGGGCCGACAACAGACGGTGCACCTATCGAAACGATCGATCATTGGTCAAGCCTCGGCAACAATCTCTGGCCTCTAACCCTTCGTCTTTCTTTCCGTCAAGGAACCGGTGATAAATCACCCGGGCCAGACCGTCCAATTACTTAACCGGGCACAGAGATACGAATAAAGCGCCGGCACACGCTATCCCCCGGCCCGACGAAAGGCCTGTTTCGCGCGAAACAAATGAAAAATCGCGATCGCTGCACGGCCTTCCCTCCTCTTGACACGGTTTTTTTGATCGATCGCCCGCCGCCCACGGCCGCCCAGGACCCCGGAGATTAGGGGACCGATTAACAGGACTTCCAGTTTGCTTCCTTTGTGCTTTACTGCCTGTTTCGGGGTGATTAATGCCGTGTACTTGCGCCATGACGGCGGAAGAAGTGCGGAGGAAACGCGGAGTTTAAAGCAAACACGCGAGTAATGGGGCCGGGGCTGCCTTTTCTGCGGCGAGGAAACCCCGGCCTCTCGATTCTGCTGGATTCGGGCGTCCCTTTTGCGTGATTCCTTTACTCCGGGTAACTTATACTTTGATTTTTTTGGGAGGGGTTTAGTATCGTATCCGTTACAAGCTTATTAATAGACTGCGAATTTTTACGTGTTCGTGACGTCGTTGCATGTTCTCGATATTACGCGTCTGCTACATGGTTAAGAAGAATATATTTGGCTTAAATATATTATATGAAATATTAAATATTATATATAGTTATATATATGATGTTATATATTGTATATAATTATATAATATTATATATGTATATGTAATTATTTGATATATTTATATGATATTATATATTACATATATATTATATAATCATACATATTACAATATAATATAATCTAAATGAAATATATTTGGCTTATCCAACCATAAGCAACACAAGTCAGCGTACAATATAACCTCGGTGACGAGACCTCAACCATAACCTTCAGGAAGAATCGTGCTCATATCCCGGCGACTTGGAAACGCTGTTTGGTCCAGTTTCACGGTCTGCTTATCGGCGAGACGAACACGGTTCATAAGCATCCGCGTGATAACAGGTCGGTTAATCTGCTCGACGACCCGCGCCGGTGTAACAAGAAAAGCCATGTGGTAAATCAGGATTAGAGCGCGCACGGTTCTCGGAAATTTAAATAATTTAAATCTTTCCGGTGGTTCATAAATTCGGATTTTCCGCGCGGACACCGACGGCTATTTGGATCCTATTAAAACTCGCGCTCGCTCACGGTCGTTCTCGCCGGGTTGCGCGCGCGCGAGAGTACGCGACCTCTGTCCACCGTGACCGTTCATCCCTTTCTCGCTTTTGGCCTACGCCCCCGCGGAGGAATTCGCGGAATTAGCTGATATCTCGTCCGACCCGACCATGATATTTAAAGGCATTACGCCGGCCGACAAATTGCCCGGACCACCGCGAATTCTTCGCGCCGTTCGCGCGTCCGTCACCTTTCCACCGGGTGAGCGCGAATTATCTGTCGGTTATACAGGGATTCTCATGATTGTGTTAACGCTTGGAATAGGGCGATTCCTGAGGTCGTTTGAAGTAACTTTTTCCTTCACAAAAGTTTTCTCCGGGGCGTCGTTTACGAGTTATTCATCCAAAACGGTGACCAATGGGAGGCGAGCACTCTGCTGGCGCTAGGCGAAGCCCAGTTCCGCTGATTGGCTCGGCCGCCTGGCGCCAGGCGAGCTCGCATCTCATTGACCAGCGTTTTTCGTTAATAACTCGTAAACGAAGCCTCGGAGAAAATTTCTGTAAAGGAAAAAGTTGCTTGAAATGACCTCAGGAATCCCTCGTTTCCCGGAAGTGCCATATTTTGGGACATCCTGTTTATTATAGTATTAGATTGTGTAGAAATTCGTATAATTTAATGAGAGAGAGAGCCGTCAGCTGAAAAAGAAGGGCTCCTCGGAGTTCCAGGCTCGTTAATATCGGGCCCGTAAATATTTTTACCTTCGCCGGGCAAACAGAGGCGCGAACTTCTGCGCCCGGGGTTCAATCAGCCGGGCTTACGCGATTTCTTGTTTCCCGTTCAAAGGGAACACAGCCCACAGGCGTTTCCTCCGCGTTCGTTCGTTTGCGTCCCGGACGCAATTTCCATTTTTCAAAGGGGCCGCACGGAGGAGGAGCCGATGGGAACTTGACGAAACCAAATATGCGCGGCTCGCTGCCGCCACCGCTTTGATCAGCTTCTTGCTCGAGAAAAGGGCGAGTCCCGTCGCGGACCGAGCCGACCCGGCCCGACCCGCCACGGCCCGCGTCGGCCCGCGACCGACGTTTTCCTCTGCTTTTTCCAGAACGCGTACCAATCTCCGAGTTAATGTACGTCGTCTCTGTTTATGTACCTCTTCCGAACGGAGGCTACGCAGTCCCGGAAATATTTCCGTAGCAGGAGTAATAATTAATATCGAGGTGATTCGCAAGCCAGAGGCCGGTCGGCCGTACGAGCATCCGACGATTCGCGACCTGTTTGCGATACCAAGTGTGTCTTGTCGAGGCTGTCTCGCGCTTTACAACCGAGGAAATTGCCTGTCAGTGACTGGGATCAAGTGCCCAGATCGTGGGATAACCAAACCGTTTGGTAATTTCGAAACTTTAATATTTGCGATTTCTCGCATAAATTTGAAGATATAAATACAGATATATCGAAGATATACTGAAGATATAAATAATATAAATTAATAATACAAATTTGAAAGTTTTTGTGATATTTATAGAAGGACCAAAAAATTGTTAATGAAGTTATGAATAAATGAATAAACGAATAATTCTATTCTAAATAGTTTTGCTGCTCCTTCGAAAGGATAATCGCACGATCCAAGATTGCACAGGATAGTGGAGCAGGTAACCGTGTGGTGACCAATTACTGTGCCTTCGTATGGCTACATTTTTTGAATTTTCCGTTCGAAAATGAAGCAAATAAAAGAACAAACAAATTTAATATACCTTCTTCGATAAATATAAAGTTAATTATGCCCGAGAACAAGTCAAAGGCACCGCACAGTAACCGGCCCCACTTACTCTACAGACACTAAAGCGTCGCGATCAACGTAAACCGCGAGCGATAGATCGATCCCCAGGTTCCTTCGCCGAAATTTCGCGTGACCCATCAATCTCGCAGCTGGCAGCAAAGTGGCGACAACTCTCATCGCCTCCGCGACAAGCCATCCGCCGGCTGTCGATGGTTAATTACAGGCTGGCTCGTAAACTGCGAGCTCGCCGGCTCATAATGGACCTTGACACGAGCGTGTCTGGGACCGACCGAAATTAGATTACCGCCGGATATATCCGGTATAAGTGATCGCGATCGAGCCACCGACGCGCTCGAGAAGCGGATCTATCTCTCTGCGGGCCCGGTGTAACTCGAGGAACCGATTACCATCGGGCCGATCGCCTTTCGTATTTATAACGGCCGTTTAATCAACACGTCGCGAAGATTAACTCGCTCGGCCGAGCATCGGGAACATCAACGTTTTCGCGTTCGGATCGATGAATGATAAATAGCGGGGATTAAATTTAATGGCAGCCGGCCGTCTCTCTCCATCGCTCTCCCTTCTCTCGTCTTCTTCTCTCTCTGTGTTTCTCCCTCCTTTTCTCTCTCTATATATTTCCCTCTCTTTCTCTCTCTCTCTCTATTTCTCTATTTCTCTCTCCTTTTCCCTTCTACAGGGTGTCCCAAAAGTCTCTCGCAATCGGGAACTGAGGGATTCCTGAGGTGATTTGAAGTAACTTTTTCCTTAGCGAAAATGCGATCCGCGGCTTCGTTTACGAGTTATTAGCGAAAAACACTGACCAATCGGAGAGCGAGTGTAACGCAGCGGCAGTGGTCGCGAGGGCGTGGCGTCAGCCGTAAGCGTTCCCTCATTGGCCAGTGTTTTTCGTTGATAACTCGTTAACGATGCCTCGGAGAACATTTTTGTAAAGGAAAAAGTTACTTCAAATCATCTGAGGAATCCCTCATTTCCCGCAAGTATCATAATTTTGGGACACACTGTACATCTCCCTCCCTTTTTCCCTTTCTCTCTCTATCGCTATTCCTCTCTTCTCCTCCGAATCGCTCGGCAGCTCGCTGGATCGCGGGCACACTCGCAACACACGCCTGCACCGCTATCGATTTAGCAATTTGTCCATAGGCACGCGATATTTATGCGCACTCCGATTTTTAGACG